TCCCAGATTGACAGGCTCTGCTAACTTCATCCTTGAAGGATACTCAGATTTTAAAGCACCAAGATGATTTTTCTGGACAAAATCACTGGTTAACATGCTATTGGATAAGTCATTTCTCTTGTGGCAGCTGACTCTTGCTTCAACAGGGTATTCAAGCCTCTCTTCTCTGACAAGATTGAGCTCTTTACCGATTGTTCATTGTGAAAACTTACTTGATGTCAATCAGTTGTTTTGTATGCAGAAGAATGTTTATTATTAGAATGATAATTCTAATGCAACACATATGTAAGTCTTGAAGTTTGAAAAAACTTTGAATGAAATGACGTCACAACTCTGTTGTGAACGAGTCACTAGCTAGAGAGAAACATTTGCAAATTATTTTTTATGAAAGATAATGCAAGCATATGATTCCAACACAGATATTCAAACATACCTCTTAGGAGTCAGTTAAATTCTATCTCGTTGTAGTGCGCTTTCAAATTGACCCATGCTTCAGTTAGGACTTTTATGGGTTGTAACGTGGCCTGGTTCATGTTTTTAGAAAAAAAGGATTTTAGGCTCAAAATTATTTGGTGCCCACCCATTCTCCATGATGTTCTCCATTCCTACGTTCAGTTGACCTAACACAAACGTTCATCTGTCGAGAAGAGTTTGCGATGATTGAGGAACCACAATGGTTTCTTGGACACGACAGTCGCTAACTTCTTATTTTGGTGTTTGATCACACGACTTTTTTCTTTGTTGAGGATTTTCGTTGTTAATCCTTTTCTCGCCTTTTAGGCTTTTCAGTTTCTTTCTTGCTTTCCCTAATTTTTGCCTGGACAAATTCTTTTGAATTTCGATTTGGAAGTCCAGCGGGATGCCCCAATTTTTGCCTAAGTGACTTGTTTTCAAGTTTCGACTTAGCGGGGATTTTTGTTTCTTTCTTATTTGTATTTTCCATTTTGAACAAGTCGTTGATCTTTGCGTTGTTTTTGATTTGTCGGAAGTGATCGTGACTGCCTGAGTCTTTAGTATCGTCATTTGTTGACCTCCTGATGTGCGAGAGATACCCATTGGGATATAGTCAATAGACACACATTGTTGTTAGATGAGGATTAACCATTGTGGTTTTGATTTTTCTCAATCTTTTGATGGATAACCATTGTTGTATCCTTGGATTCACACCCTTGATGAGTTCTGAATGCTTGATCAGATTAGCTGAACACTACCCGCCCCAAGGTTGAAATGAGGGTTTTTTCTGAATAGAAAGAAAACTCCTACTTTGAAGGCTCAGAGGGGTTGACGAGGGTCTCTCTCCCTTATATCTCCAGTGTTTAGGGATTGAAACAAGGCCTGTACATCGTCAGCAGGGTCTTACTCAAAAGAGTACCAATCAGAGATTTTTGCGTTTTCAGATTATCGTCATCCTCCTTTGAATCTTTACCTAAGCATAAGACTAGGAAATCTGGCATCAATATGCAAGTAAAAAATTTAAAGAGTGATAATGAATGGATGAGTAAAAATGGAAGGAACACTTCAAGACAAGCATACTTATTGCATTAAGATTTCCGTTCAAAAATAGACAAGTTTCTATATACAAGTGATGTTTAAACAAACAAGCAAGAATGCAAATGAAAATGCAGTAAAGAAACCAATGATTGCCATTGTTGAGGAGACTTGACTCCATATGGACTTACTGATTTTGATGAATTTCTGTAGTCTTGATGCTCGAGTGTGCGAGAGAATTCCCCTCAGATCTGATGTGAACACAACAGTCTCTGAATTAATCCAGTCTTGGACTTGGTCTCCGGATGACATACCATCTTCAATCGAATGGCCCGGTGCCCCAGTATAATATGCATAAAAGATCTTTTTAGGAGAACGAATGAATGATTTACCCAACGAATCAGTATAAACTGCATCACCAAGCATATCATGTCTCAAAGAAATAATAGACATCATCATCAGAGTTTCCATGACCTGGCTTATCTGAGTATTTAATCAATTATCTTCCTGCTTGAAGAAGTTTCTGACTATGAGCCAAAGCTTGCATGTACCACTCAGAGTTATTCCATAACTGATTTCTGAGCATGTGAAGTGAGAAATCAGGTTGAACCTTTGAAGATAACCCCATGTCTGAATAAGAATCCCCAATCTTCGAGTACCTGTCATGAATGCATGAATATGCATAGGGTGCATGAATGAATGCCATGTCATGTTCTGTCATTTCTAAGGAAATAACAGAACATGTATGTTAAGCATGTGGTTATCCATGTTATGTATGCAAAGGCATGAGATCAGAGAGGATCAAGGCTCCATCATTCCTGAATAAGATTTCTGCACTGTTCTGAACCATGTGAGTGTCATCAGAGCAAAGGTCTGACATAGCTTCTGCACATATAAGAAACAAGTACCATTTGGACCTCCCATTGTACGGGATCGAGGCTTCTAGAATATCGGATACTGTTGAGCATTTCTGAACATGCTGGGAATACCAAGATTGAAGGCTTGAATGAACCTTCAGGTAAACAAGTCAGGAACTCAGAAAATAAACCTGAGAACCATACGGTCACCAACAGGATATAGCATCTGCAAAAAGTCATAACATAAATCCATAATATAGCCATCAGAACCAGTAGTCATTGTCTGAGCATAGTTACCATCTGAACACGAGTAACCATCTGCACATAGTCACCATCTGTACCTGTGATAGAAATTCCTTCCCCACTCACGGGTGAAAACTAGGTCAGGGTAAGATAATGGTAACTCGAAAATCATGGGTTCACCTGAAATTGCTATGGGCTTGCCCACAGACGTGGGTGCCGATAGTAATTCATTTGAACCTCATCCGAGCATGGTATATGACATGACTGCACTAATCGGACCACGTCCTATAGCCGTCATGCCCCCACTTTATTCCTAGTGTCCTAGTGCACTATGGCCTGGGTACTGGGCCTTTTACCTCAATAGTGACATCCCCACCCAACATAGAGAACAGAGTCCAGCATAATAGATAACAAATATGGAAAGCCATAAAATGCAATGCAAACTTATGCTCAGATAAACATGTACAAATGAGTAAACTGAAAGCATAAAAATAAACACCCTAAGGAAAGAAAACAAGAGCTAGGAGCGACTCCGGGATGGACCAGCATTTGGTCGACCTATCCCCAGTGAAGTCGCCAGCTGAAACAACCGGCTGAAAATCATCAAAACAATGAAGTCACCATCGAACGTCTTTTATCCCACTTGTAGGAAAGGTAAACATCGAGAAAACCTGATGAGGGGGAAGTCACGGTCTTGCGACTGAGAGATCGGGTAAGGGAGTCTGTTACGCGAGGGGAAGGTATTAGCACCCCACACGCCCGTAGTACTCTACGGTATCCACTATTGTTATCTATCTTATGGGTGTGTTTAATCTATGCTTACTGTTTACTATACTACTGGAGGGAAAATGCATGCAAAAGAAAGGAGAAAAGAATGTAGGGAAAATAAAATTGTTCTCTCTTGGGCCCTACCCAAATGCCTACGTATCCGTTTTGAGGAATCAGAGCTACCGTAGTTCGGCTCATATGTTTTTGTTTGTTTGTGTTTTTTGTGGACGAAGTTAATTCCGCCTTCTTCCGCAGCTCGACCTTTGGAGACTTACGCGTTGGCACATAAGTAAATTAATCGTGTCCTTACCTGAAAAGGGTTTTTTAAGAAAGGTGCTCGAGCGCACAAAAGATTTGAATTGGTTTATATTTTGTTGTAGATGTTTTTTTGTGGACGAAGTTAATTCCGCCTTCTACCGCAGCTCGACCTTTGGAGACTTATGCGTTGGCACAGAAGTAAATTAATCGTGTCTTTACCTGAAAAGGGTTTTTTAAATGAAAGGTGCTCGAGCGCACAAAATGGTTTGAATTTGTTTTGTATTTTTGTTGCAGATGATGACTGATTGACCTCAAGAGAGAGATATTAGCCGTTTTTCTACTTAGTTATGAAAGGAGTCTTTGAGAATTGAACCACACCTATGCTTGATATGAAGAACAATAAGATCGAGAAGAGACCCGCTTATCATTTCCCGTACTAAGCAAAAGCATGATTCTCATCAGTAGTTTTAAAGTGTTTTGAATTTCGAAAAGAAAAAAAGAAGTTTTAGTTTTAAATGCGTATGCAAAAAAGAAAAAAGTCAAATGGGACTAGCTTACTTCTAAACCTAATGTTATTGTGCGTTAGTATCCCTAAGTCAAGGATGAATGAAAGGGAAATTTCTACCTAATGTTAGCATGCATATGGATTGCGATAAAGTACATAAATGAAAAATAGAGTTGTGACGATACCGAACGGAGGAAGTCCATTTCCTCCTCAAAATTGTGCAAGCGGTAAGAAAATTCTATCAAAGTTTCCTTGGGCGAGCGATTGAAGAATCCACCCCGAGCATTCCACATTGCAAGAGTTATGTCGATGCTATCACAAAAATCTTGACTAGAAAATGGAAATAAAAATGATTACCAAATATGAAAAATAAAATAGAAAAAATTCTAATCGAAATTCTAAAAAAGAAATTCCAAAGAATTCTAAAATATTCTATTGTTTCATTTTATTATCAATTGAGAGAAAAATTAAACTAAAATAAAAACTTAAATAATAATAAAAACAAGTTAGAAGAGTCAGGGGATATGAAGTCTAGAAATATGGGTGCTGAAGTAATGTGATGCATAGCCCAATAGCAAGGGTCCAAATTATTTCTTTTTGTTCAGAAACCAAGAGATATACCAAAAAATATGGTAGCGGGCCTGGAGAGAGTGAGGTTAGGTCCATTCCATCACTAATCCCTCTTACAACAAAAAACTCATATTTATTTTGTATTATTTCAGCATTGTCTAAGAAAAAATATAAAATAGAAATTGAAGTAAAAATAAAATAAAAGGGAGGATACGGTGTCGTTGCTGCTTAGGGTTAGAATTGTGACTTTTAAGCTTCTGTGAACAAGAATTCATTCCCTGCTTACTCAATTCTGATCCGCCGCGCCGATCTCACCTTTCCCTCATTACCGGCAATTTCTTCCTATCTCCACCTATCTCTTCCATCGATTTTCGAAACGATGAGACTCGCTTCGCAATCGCCGTTGATAAATCATTGCTCCGCTGAAGGATGAAGCTTCCAAGATCCGGCATGGTGCTATTGACGGAGTTACTTGGCGGAGACTCGTCGTTTTTGTTTCTCTTCTTCTACGCCTTGGCTTCATAATCTGGCCTTCTTCGACTCCGTCATCTCACCTCTCTGCTTCGAAGCTCCGCTTGATTCGCTTCTCTTTGTCGTGGATTTGATCGATCACTACACCCACCGTCTCCATTCCTCTCTTCTCAGTCGGAGTCGCTCCGAAGACGATTTGAATGCAAGAGTGAAGCCAGAAATCCAGAGATGTGAATTCAGGTGCGCGTTTCTTTTCTGAATCGCTTTGTTTCGTATATTTATCTTCTTCTTCCTTTGAGATTTGTGTTTTCTTTCCTCTCTGTGTTCTTGTGTACCAGTGTTGTTGTTGATTCTGATTCATATAATGTGAAGTCGTGGTATTGTAGGTGTGGAGGTTTCTTGCTGCAGGTTTTGTTGTAGAAGATGCCTGAAGAATAGATGTTAATGCCTTCAAGATTTGTTGTTGTTGAAGTTTGATTAACAAGTCGATGAAGATGTCGGTGGTGATGATGAACAATCAAGCTGTTGCGGTTGTGGAAAATGATGCTCTATACTTGAAGATTGATGAGAAAATCAAGATGAAGTGAAGACCTTGTTGAAGGTTGAAGATGAAGGTGGTGATGATGATTTCATGATTTTTTCAGAGAGAAAGGTTGGAGAGTTTTCTGGTTTTTGGTGATTCTCCAAGGTGAAGAATGAAGATGAGAGGAGAAGAGAGAATTTTGGTGTTTACCTTTGACGCCTTCGGAGATGCGGAACCGTGAAAACCAAAGATGAGACTCCTACGCTGATTACGAGTATAGATTGCTTCTGTTTCTTCCATCTTTCCGCTCCTTTCTATTTTATCAATAACCTGTGTTGATGTTGTTACGCAGGAAATTATCGCACTGATCTTGCTGTGTGAAGAGTATCAAAGCGAGGATGGAGATGAATGGAAGATGCACAAGAAATCATTTTTGACGCATTTAGAGATGATGATGCAGGGGCGCAATGAATATTGACACGCTGGTGATGCGGAAGAAACTTGCAGATAATGAAGGTGCTGATGATGAATATTGCAGATTTGAAGGCTTCTGAAGGTGGAAGATAAAAAAAATAAGAAATAATGGTAGAGTTTGCAGAGAATTTGAGGGAGAGAAATCGGGAGTGAGGATGAAGAAAGGTTGCTGGTGGATGAAGGTGAGAGAGATATTGAAATGCCAGCTCCAGTGAGAGATCCATAATTCCTCTTTTGTTGCGTAAGTTTCCAGATGAATTAGAGAATTTTTGTTAGAGGTTTTTTCTTGAGTCTGTTAACCTTTAGTTAACAGTTCAGTTAGAGGTTGTTATGAAGTTAGTTAGAGTTTGGTTAACAGTTAGCTTTCTGTTATGGTATGAAGTTGATGAGCTGGCATCGGTTATGGTAGTTATAGGGTGGTTAAGAAGTTTTGGTTGTAACTGTTTCTTGGGTTGGTTAAGTTAGAAAAACTGTTATAAACTCTTTTTTATGTGCAGGGTTATTTTGAATTGGATTTTTATGAATTTTAAAGTGAAAGCAGGTTACTTAATTTTCCTCTAGTTAAGGCAGTCTTGATATTAATCACCTCTTTTTCCTTTATGCTTGAATAGGTTTGGAAGTGGAGAAGTTGCAAAGGCACAGTTAAGCCATGAAGTAATAAGCATGAAGATTGGTCGTGGAATTAGAAGAATGAGAGTGAAGATGGATAAGTTTTGCATAGGTTTAAGATGGGTTAACAAGTAGTGAGCTGACTTTGGTCAAAACTTGTAATATTTTTATGTAATTCTGTTTGTTTGTGGTAATGGTGTAAATGGACATTATTTTGAATACAATCTTGTAATGAATATCTTGTAATGAAATAATATTCCCTTGAATAAAATTCGAAACTCTTTTTCCTCTGGATTGTATTTGAAATTCTATTTTCCACTTCAAACTTGCAAGCTCGAGTAAGAACCATGTGGTTGTAAGGAAAAAGCCCAATTTTTTTAAGGACTTTGGTTAAAAGATTTAAACCTTTGATGTGATATTCTAATTCCACCATTTCTCCCCAAACTCTTGAATAAGGTTCAAAATACTGACTTGTAACCCAAATAACCAAGCCGACCATACTTTGACAAATGACAAAATCCAATGAAGCCCTAATGTTGAAATATGCCATATGATAGCCCCAAAGAAACCCAATTTCACTGATTCATGCTCATAGAATAAGACTTTACCCAACGAGCCTCTTGATCACCCCATGAATAGGGAAATAAACCCTAACTTCCAAAGGTAAGTGCTAACACACTAAAGAAACATCTCACTTCATGAACCCAAAGAATTTTCTTGTCTAAGTTTAAAGCCTTTTGAAAGAAGTCCAGTTGAAAGTCCTGCATCATAAGTAACAATGAAGTTACCCCTCACATGATGAACAAGCCCAAGCACTGAGAACAAACCCAAGATAATTATAAGACCAAACCCCAAGATTTATCTGATAATTCCAAGCATAAGGAAGCAAACCCTTAATCCATGGTTAATGAGAACCTCAGCTAAAAGCAACCTTCATAAGATGGAACCTCGATTTTAAAAACCATGGATCCAATGCTAAGCTTATTGATTAATGATGCACGACGTGTCAAATGACCTAATGTTGTGTATGCACATGAAATGAAGAGTGTAAGATGCGTAAGCTAGATAAAGGCAAAGGGGTAGGACAAATTTGGGGTATTACAGTAGGGTTGTGAGAAGGAACCTGGATAGTAGGGTTACTTCGATATAAAAGTCGGGATAGTAGGGATGTGAGAAGGAACCTGGATAGTAGGGTTACTTCGATATGAGTTTGGGTAAAACTGTAGAGGGAACCTGGGTAAGGTTGCTTTTGTCGCACTGATGATTACTCTTTTTAGATCCGAGTGTTGATCATGGACCTGCTGGAAATTGTTGATAATAATTGTCTTTCCTGAAAGAAATACAGGGTTAGTTATGTGCGATGCATGAGATGCATTGTATGATGAAGTTCTCAAAATAAATGAGACTATGTTATATGTAATGTATGCACCTGTCATGATGTATGTACATGAAATGCTGACGTAATAATTTGAGTCCGGGAAAATAAATCCCTGAATGTTGTTTGGAGAGTATGCGAAATGGTATTCTTGACTGCTATAAAAACCATAGCTTCTCTACTTCTGTTGGGGATAATGAACAAAGATGACTATGCTGGGGATTTACCCCTCGTTTACGAATATTCTGCCGAGGAGAGACCCTATTTGGGAACAACTCTGCGGGAGAATAACTCTGTTGGAGAGGAGATACTCTGTTGATAGATCTGCTGATTTGGAGAAATAAACTCCACTAGGGATGAACTTTTGTTGCTGGTGATAATGAATTATGTTGGAGATTGAATTTCTGCTTGTGAGAGAGATAAACTCTGCTTGGGGAAAGTTTTACTGACTCACTCGCGATTGTGAACCTCAACTGGGGAGAGTTATGTCCTATACGGGAAAGTTAGCATCATTGTGTTTGGATACTTTTTACTCTGTAGGGAGTGTATGTACCACTACTCATGTTCTCAAACCGGCTCTATCCCAGTACGTGATGGGCAGAGTAAATGTAAGGTTTAGGTACTTCTTATTTTCCCTGTTCCTAGAATTACGAGTAATCATCTTTCGTTTTTTATGTAAATATTTATGAGCAGCCATTATTTTCAAATGCATATATAAAAAATGAATCATTGGACGTTCTTGCGAAATAAACTAGAAAAAGAAAAACAAATTGGAATTTCTGGTGAAAATGAATTGTATTGATTTTTGAAGTTGGCCTGCAATAGGCATTTTGTACAAGGAGGATGACGTCCTAGTAAGAGAACACCGCTGAACGATAGAAATTAAAATTTGTGTTAAAGAAAGAAAGACAGCTATGTGAAATGACCCCGTTGGGTTCCAACTCTGCTATTGCCTTTATATCTTCAAGTGTCTCATCACTTTGCTACTTGGTCGAAGGTGGATCAGATTTGATTGGCGCCGTCTGAGCTTGATAGTTGATACCGAAGTCTGGTTGCAGGATGATCCCATGAGACATAGTGTTATGCTTCAATCCCTAATTTTTGCCTGGACTGCCCTTTCGGGTTTTCAGTCCACCAGGATACCCTTTTTTTGCCCAAGTAGCCTTTTCAGGTTTTCGACTTTCCAGGTGTACAATTTTTTTTTTCATTTTCATCCCTTACTTTTGCTCGAACCCTTTTGGTTCGTCGGGAAGCCCTAATTTTTGCCTAGGTCAATCGACCTAGTGGGTCTTTGATTATGTGTAGTATCTTTTCACTATGTCTGCATTGATGGGGTGAGGAAGGTCGTCACCACCCATGGTGGTTAGAATCATAGCTCCTCCAGAGAAAATGTTCTTAACCACAAATGGCTCTTCGTGTGTGGGGGTCCATTTTCCCCTGGGATCACCTTGCGGTAGTATGATGCGTTTGATCACCAGATCCCTGACTTGATATTCTTGACGTTTGACTTTCTTGTTAAAAGCCTTGATCATTCTCTTTTGATACGTCTGATCATGACAGATAGCAGTAAGTCTCTTTTCATCGATTAGATTCAGCTGATCAAGTCGGGTTTGGATCCAGTCGTCTTTGTTCAAACCCGCATCCTTCATAATCCTGAGAGAGGGTATCTGGACTTCGATGGGTAGGACTACCTCCATGCCATACACCAAAGATTAGCGTGTTGCCCCTGTCGACGTCCTTGTTGAGGTACGGTACCCATGAAGAGCGAATGGTAACATCTCGTGGCAGTCTTTGTATGTCACCGTCATCTTCTGTATAATCTTTTTGATGTTCTTGTTAGCTGCTTCAACAACCCTATTCATCTTCGGCCGGTACGGAGAAGAGTTATGATGCTGAATCTTGAACTGCTTACAGAGCTCGGTGATCATTGTGTTGTTGAGATTTGTACCATTGTCCGTGATATTCCTCTCTGGTATACCATATCGACAGATCAGATTGTGTCGGGCAAACTGCGCCACGACGTTCTTGGTTACTGTAGCAAAGGAAGCTACCTCAACCCACTTTGTGAAGTAATCAATTGCTACCAGAATGAAGCGATGCCCGTTAGATGCAGTAGGTCTGATCTCGCTAATCATGTCGATGCCCCACATTGCAAAAGGCCAAGGAGTTGTCAAAACATTCAGGGGAACCAGAGGTACATGCATCTTATCGGCATAGACTTGGCACTTATGACAGGTTCGAGAGTGCTGATAACAATTGGCTTCCATAGTGGACCAGTAATATCCTGCCCGTAGGATTTTCTTCGCCATGGTATGTCAACTCGAATGGGTTCCGAAAGTGCCTTCATGTAACTCCGTCATGATCCTTTCTGCCTCTCTCTTGTCTACACGCCGTAGTAAGGTGGAATCATGGTTACGCTTATAGAGGATTCCATTACTGATGAAGAACTTCACAACGAATCTTCTCAGAAACTTCTTATCATTAACAGATGCCCCCTCGGGGTATTCTTGAGCCTTAAGATACCTCTTTACCTCATGAAACCAGGGTTTATCTGCCACTTCTTCGGTCTCAATGTCACAACAATGTGCGGGTTCATCCAACCTCTCAATGGTAACCTGGGGAGCTTCATTGTCCCACCTAACTTTGAACATAGAAGACATGGTAGCTAGCACGTCCGCCAACTGGTTCTCGTCTCTTGGGAAATGTTCAAAGGTTATCTCCTCAAAGTGTGGGAGCAATGTCAGTACATACTCTTTGTAAGGAATAAGATTCGGGTGCTTCGTATCCCACTCGCCTTTGATCTGACTTATCACCAGAGCGGAATCTCCAAATACACTCAAGA